GAACGGTATCATCCTGTATAATAATAACAGTACATCGTATACAGGTTATGAGACATTCTGACCGACCGACCGACCGACCAGAGGAGCCCACCACGCTATTTAGGTCACGCCTTGCTATATACGATTTAACGATATACCGTCGGTCCATCGATCCGCTATTTTTCGATGCACCCCTGTATACACGTTGCCCCCCGTAATCCACGCCAACACCAGACAGGTGCGACATCGGCGCCATCTATGCGCGAGATGCCCAACCCATCAATGGCAGCTGTCCAATGACGCATAGATTCCGTTAGGTTTGTACACCGCCAAACAAATCTACGCCATTTATGCGCGAGATGCTCAACCCATCAATGACAGGTGTCCAATGACGTATGACAGATGACGTGTAACGCCATCTATGCGTGAGATGCCCAATGACGCATGACAGGTGTCCAATGACACACAGATTCCGTTTGGTTTGACAGCGCCATCTAGCGGCGGAATCCCCAACTCATGAATACAGATTCCGTCCAACAACCTGTCAATGGCGCGCGACGCCAGCGCCTCTGGTGGCGGATTTTGGAACTTTTGAGACCGAATCCCCATAAGACATCTACTACTTTCTGTACGGTTTGAAGAGCAAAACTAAGTAGTTTACTCTGGTTTGTATGAATTGCACTGTTCCCAGAGATATACAACAAAATTGCACCAAAAAGTCGGAGGTTAGGAATATAAACAAACGAAAAGCCCGGCAAACACCTGTCTGTGGAAGACCCCAAAGCTGCGTTGCCATATCTACTATTCATGGCTCGTTAGTTGAAGGTGGCGCTGGTGGAAGTGTTCAGGGTGGTGCTGGTTCAGGAGACTCAAACGAAGGGTCAGTCGGGTCCGACAAGACATCGCAGCCTACCGGAAGTTGCACCACAATAACGCCCCGGCTCACACCGCCTTTCTTGTGAACAGCTGCCTGACCAAGGCCGGCATCCCAACGCTTCCGCAGCCGCCCTACAGCCCAGATGTGCCCCCCGGACTTTTTTTTGTTTCCTCGCCTGAAAAGGCAAGCATTTTGAGACGATAGAGGGGATCCAAGCCGCATGCACCGCGGCTCTCAAGGCTATTCCGGAGAATGCCTATTTTGAAAGTTTTTAAAGAATTGTAACGATTAGCTCAATAAATTTTTTTAAATCGACTCAGTAGTATTACTTTCCGGACAAACCCTGTAGACTATTTGTCACAGTTACACTGTAACTGTTTTTATATCTACACATATATTTTAACGAATTTTATGATCTTTAAACCTTTAATTTGTAGCACTCCGTTTGTTATGGTTCTCTGAATATTTCGTCGAGTAGATTGACTCTGTACTTATGACGCATTGAAATACAACAGACATACCGACAGAAATGAGAAACACGAACTTGTGTGATGCAGGTATTTTTAAACAACAGAGATCTTCTGAAACGAAGTTCGAATATTATCGCGAGTTTGATACTTTCATCGTTTAGGTAGCCGTATATTTTGAAAGTTGATTCAGATGCGGTGGAAATAAAAGAGCTGGAACATAGTGTTATAGCGTTTCGAGTATTCCTCATCATTTTCAGGCATTGTTCGGAAGCGATGATAATTGTAGGTTGGAAGCTGTATGCGGTGAACTGGTTGTAAAGGGTGTTTTTTTAGAGGTATAGAACTTTAAATTGCAATAAAAAAACGATAGATTATTCGATTGGCATGAATTTTTTTTATTCGAAAGATAATCTTGTGGCATTACATTTTAAATATGACTGCCACGGCTGGCTCGGGTGTAGTCCAATCTGGACGTCCAATTTTCGACGACTTTTTCCAACATTTGTGGCCGTATATCGGCAATAACATGGCAAATGTTGCCTTCCAAATGGTCAAGCGTTTGTGGCTTATCAGCATAAACCAATGACTTTACATAGCCCGACAGAAAATAGTCTAGCGGTGCTAAATCACAAGATCTTGGAGGCCAATTCACAGGTCCAAAACGTGAAATTAGGCGGTCACCAAACGTGTCTTTCAATAAATCGATTGTAGCACGAGCTGTGTGACATGTTGCGCCGTCTTGTTGGAACCACAGTTCCTGGACATCATGATTGTTCAATTCAGGAATGAAAAAGTTAGTAGTCATGGCTCTATACCGATCACCATTGTTCTCTAACGTTTTTGAACAAGTACGGACCAATTATTCCACCAGCCCATAAAGCGCACCAAACAGTCGGTTTTTCTGGATGTAACGGTGTTTCGACATAGACTTGAGCTTCACTCCAAATGCGGCACTTTTGTTTCTTGACGTAGCCATTCAACCAGAAGTGCGCTTCATCGCTAAACAGAATTCGCTTATGAAAATCGGGAACAACGGCAATCTCGTTTTGGGCCCATTCAACGAATCTACGCCTTGCTTGATGATCGTTTGGCTTCAATTCCTGCACGAGTTGGATTTTGTAAGGGGGCCGTTCAAGTATTACGTAAGCAGATTTATTAGAATTATTTACCTCCCCATCCCCCTCGCCAGCAAAAGTAAGCGAAGTTCTTACCCCCTCCCCCTTCATCCAAAACCAAGTCATCAACTGTTTGTTTTACTTTTACATGTGGTGGAAGAAACCTATTATCTAGTAATCTAAATAGGCCACTTCTTGGACGACAGCATTCTGTATTTCTACATTTTACAATTTGAAGCAAATATTGGCTCTCACGCAAATGTATTGAACACCATTTAGTGTCTGGAAAATCAGGAAGATCTTGTTCACCTGCCCCAACATATTTTGCACTAACATTATAGCCATCAATTTCCATTGAACTCCATACTTCAGCTAATACATTTCCTGCAAATTCGAAATTAGATCTTTCTAAATGTTCATCAATTGTAACGTCACGTTCATCCAAATGAGACCCAAAATGGTCATGAGGCTATATTAAACCAGCCAGTTCCCGACTAAGACGAGCCATTCTACGCTCTACTTTGTTATACACGCACTTCTTCCAGGAGCATTGGCAGCTAAAAACAATGCATCGAGATCATGTCGCATAAAGTGTTGTATAACAAACCCTATGACTTTTTGATAACGTGGATTTTCACCTGGCCCTCCATCAACCGTCATGATTACCACTGCTTTCACTAGTCCATCGTCAGTTTTAGCTAATGGTCGAAACTCTTCAAGTTCGAGAAGCGTCTCGAAATCCTGAGCATGAGTATTAGCAGTTCCACTTCGAATAGCGATGTATGTTGGTCCAGAATATCCAACGGCCTGCGGTTGTCCTAGCATATTGGAAGTGATTTTGATACCAGCATGAACAAATGGTATAAATTTGTGACGCTCAGCGATTACCCAATCGTGGTCAGGCAATTTGATTCTATATTCCATGTGCATTAGAAGAGGTGCTTGCTTATTTGCCGCAGTTACGCCAATATGGACTCGAGCTTTATCATCTTGAGATATGAAAAATACTTGATCTGGTCCAAGTAGGATGCTATGTTCCCTAAATAATGGTTTGATGTTTCAGCGAACTTGCTATCTAAGTGGCTCTTGTGGTGATCAGTTTGAGCCCAAATGAGCATAAAAGGGACTGTTGATACATGTCTTCGTCCCTCTGCAGAATTAGATATTCTGGGAATCAAACGAAGATATGTCCCACTGCGACTAATGTCAAATCCTATTTTACGTAATTCTTGTGTGAGTTCATCAAGAGTTTTTACGCTGCGAATTGATTCCGTTCGTCTTCTATCATCTGCTGCACTCCCAAATAAAGCTATATCCGCGATTGTTTTCAATTGTGAATGTTGATTGCTTTCAAGATTAGGACGTCCCACTGAATCCCTCAGAGATAGTCTTTTTTTTTATTTCTGGAATTTCATGACAAATATCTTCTCTTTTTTTATACCATCCCTGTGTTTCTTCTGGGCAACTGCGTTTTGAACCTTCCTGTTTGAAGACTGTTCGAGTAGAGCAATCTTATTTTTCATAGCTTCCTGAGAAGGTTTTGCTCTCTGTTTATCTGTATTTTCATTAATTTCGCATTGCTGTTGTGATTCATTAACGGGTTTTATTTTATCTTCTTCCTCTTTTTTAATATTTCAAGCTGACTGTATAATTTGTGTTTCTTCTGCAGGTTTACAGGTTGCCTAAAAATAAAAACAAGGTGTTAGTTTTCTGTATATATGTATAAAACTAACATCCTGTACTTTTTGACCAATTGACGGAATCAATCATAAGAAATAAATCTATAATACAATGAATATTACCTCTATACTTTGAGATAGGCCATAATATTTTCAAATCAGTAAAGAGAAACTTTTTGGCGATTTCTAATATTTCTAGTACCCATAGGTACCTAAAATGATATCGCCACTCACCTTAGAAAAAAAATTTAGTATATAGATTGGATTCATTCTTAGTCGCCGCTTGCAATTCTTCTTCGATTCTCTTAGATACAATAGTATCTAGTTCCTTGTCGGATTTTGCTTGTAATTTGTAATTTCGCCACACTTCGTTAACTAACATTTGTACATTTTGTACTTTCGTACTTGTATGAGATTTTTTAAAACTTTCAAACAATTTTTGGTATAACTTGGATTTGTCTATGTGAAACGACATCTTATTTAAACATTAAACTTCGGCTAATGGAATCAATGGTAACACAAATGTTAACTTGCTTTACGGCTACTCGCTATACTATCCAAACGAAACAATACACTGATAGAGGAAATTTAGACAAGTGAACACCGCGCGGTAATTCCCCTACTCGGTTCTAAAGCGAGTAGGGGAATTACCGTGCGTTGTTCACTAAACGTATGCATTATTTGCGGGAATCCCCGAAAAGACGTTTCGTTTTCAAGCAAAGACAATGTGAGGGTTGCCATTCGAGTAAAAAAAGTAAATAACTACGATCATTTAGACTCTCCTACCCCCTATGTCATCCAAAATAAGCAAAGCAAAGAACTCCCCCACCCCCCATAGTGCTCACGTAATACTTGAACGGCCCCAAACGAAGAAGAGTTGTTTTAAAATATTCGTATCGATTGCAGTGAACGAAGGAAGACAGAAGCGGAATGAACGATGCCAAGAACGGGTATCGAACATGGAGAGTGCGGAGAGCAGATGACGGTGCCGACAGGATCGAGCCCACCGTGAAACTGCTATGGCTGCTTTTTGGACACTGATCATCATGACCGTCACCAGCAGTATTGCAGCCGCAGTTTTCACGCCGTTGCCCGACAGGGCCGCATCGCCGCCCCCTTTGGCCGCGCCTCTTAATACTGCGCCCGCCCCAGGGCGCAATCTCACATTCCATGTGACAAGGAACAACCGGGGTGACACATTCGCCAGGATCTCACCAACTGCTTCCGGTATGTCGATTATCCGCATTTTTCTTTAGTAAAGACTACTCTAAATCTTTTTGTGGCTTATAGGACATGAAAAATTATCATTTCGTGATCTTTAAATTTGAATATAATTCTTGGGCTATAACTGTTATAGTATTTGAAGTTTTGTGAGTTTCACACATGGCCTGTAAAGGGTTTTTTTGGTGACTCCGACAGAAATGGTCAATTTTCTCAAAAAAAAAGCATTTTTTATGAAAAAGTAGCTAAGTGATGTCTAAACAAGCATTTCAGAGACGTCATATGCTTGCTAAGTTCCAGTTAAATCTGACAAATTGAATGTTTGTGTCTACTTTCATTTTTTTCTTGAAAACAGTATTGCCAGCAACGAGAAGCACCGCTTCATTTAAATGAATTACACTTTTCCCCATAATTATGCGAAGATGACGCTTCTTTATATCCGATGGCACACCTTGTTAGGATTTTATAGATTCCTATGATCAGATTTACTAGACTCTCACATACACACGTCATGTAAGCGTCTGTTTTAGTGATGAATGCGGCAGCGATAGCGATATGAATTGGAAATTTTATTAAGAATGCGACTTTACGGAAATACATGTATTGGTTGCAAAAGATGAATAAGAAGTATACAATATCCGGGTTGACTCTGATTTATATCTATGTGATTTTTTTTCACTATTCAAATGATTTTTTTTTTAATAAAGTTCATGGACTACTTAAGTTACAGAAAAATAGTTATCCAGTTTTCATTTATGAATTTATTAGTGGTTTCTTCATCAACTGTTCAGTGGAATTTAATTATTAGTCTAGCGAACAAGTCAAAATATGAACAGGGGTTATGACCGTATCATCTGTTATGTACAAATATCGGATTCATATTTGTAATAGCATCATGTTCATCAGAGGTTGCCTTCAGCTTTTTAAAGACTTCAACAGCGCATCGGACAATAATCCATTTGATTTTTGTAATGTATGTAATGATATCGCAATTGCCTTGTATATTCTTAACAAATCTTCGGCTGATTTCTGTATCGGCATGTTGATAACTTTTTCGAATATGACAGACATCCTAAAGTCCTAAAGAATAGGGCCTTCTGGGAGGTGTCAACGACATCTGTGGATTCATCCATCTGCAGTGTTAAAATAAGCACAGTTATCGAAGTCATTTCTTAACGGGGCTCCTACAATCTGCTGAGATAACGGGGGTGAAATGGAAACGAGGGGGGGGCTGACCTTAGACTGTCGTCGGCGCTACTTTAAAAGAGGCAAGGATGTTTTCGGGTGCATACCAAGGTAAATTTTTATAATAACAGAGTCGGATTTCGATTAGCGATCTAGAATGTAAATCGTTTCCTATTTTGGTACTTGGATCGTTTAGTATCTTTCTCCCCTTGTCAGTGTTCGTCGATATTGTGCTGTTGAATTGTTGTTGGTGTGATTGTTCTTGAGTGCCTTTTTTATCAAGGCTGATAGTGGGCAATAAAGGGTCATATGCGACCATTTTAATTACGAATGCAGTGAGTTTAATTCATGATAAGTCAACAATAGTGTGAAGCAGGTCAACTCTATAATCGCAAAATACATTGGGGTAAGCGAATAAATTATTGCAAGTAGAGGCCATACCATGAAAGATGTGCTATGTGGTCTAAATATACTAAGTGACATATAAATCCGAACACCCAGTTTAAATGGTTTTATTTTAATAAAATTTTGTATATGTACTTAATGAAGCATAATAAGTAAATGATAAAAATTTCAAAATGATTGCACTGCTTTAAGGCCCTTTGACCTTTAATAATGTGTGGATGCACCCTGATGTGCTACGCATTCTCCAACGCGCCTAGTCATGCTTTTGATCAGGTGGTCAATGTCCTCCTGTGGTATCTCATTCCAGGCAACCACCAACTCCTCTCGAAGTGCTTCTAGAGTCTGAGGAGGACGTCGCAAATTGAGCAATCTCCTACCCATCATATCCCACACGTGCTCAATTGGGGATAAGTCGGGAGATCTTGGTGGCCATGGTAACAATGTGACATCATTATGTTGAAAGAAGTCTATTGTGACTCTTGCAACATGTGGTCGGGCATTATCTTGTTGGAAAGTTGGATCTGCCAGGGTGTCAAGATAGGGTAAAAGACGGGGTTCTAGAACTTCGTGGATATAACGCTGCGCATTCATGTTACCTCTGATGAAGATTAAAGGTGACCTGGAACCATAAGCTATAGCACCCCAAACCATAACTTCAACAGTGTGATGAACATGTCTTTCAACAAAAAACTGTGGATTCCTCCTTTCACCACGTCGCCTTCTAACGCTGGCACGACCATCGTGCATGCCTAAACAAAATCGAGATTCGTCACTAAAGACAATACTCCATTCCTGATCCCAGAGTGACCGTTGTCTGCACCACTCAAGGCGATTACGTCGGTGTTCTCGCGTTAAAGGGAGGACCCAGTGTGGCCGGTATGAAAACAAGCCAAAACTTCTCATTCGTCGGTAAACACTTCGCATGCCAATAGGTCTTCCGTGTTCTGCAAACCATTCATTTGCAATGGACCTGGTAGTGGAGAAACGGTCCCTTAAGGCCAATAATCTTAGGCGGCGATCTTTACGGTCTGTTGTTCTACGGCGGCGTCCAGTGCCCCTTGCTCTTTGCGTACGGCCTTCTCGAAGCCATGCCTGACAACACCTAACCACAGTATCTACACTTATTTGCACTCTAACTGCAATTGCCCGAAAAGAAAGTCCAGCTTCCCGAAGTCCCACTATACGGCCCCTATCAAACTTACTAAGTTGACGAAATCGTACAGGTCTCCGTACTCTAGGCATCGTAACCGATCGTAAAGGATGTCAAGAACCACAATCTGCCAACGTTGATTCTTTACTGCGGCTGAAATATTCATTTTTAGAGCGTTAGTGAATTAAAAAAAAGCAGTATAAAAACCGGAATGTCCAACTGATAGGGCTGAAAATTGTTTCACTTGTTATTTACAGTAAGATAAATACATTCACCAACTTTTATTAAAATAAAACCATTTAAACTGGGTGTTCGGATTTATATGTCACTTAGTATACATTTGCGTTCTAAGCTTAGTCCAACCTCGCTTATCGCTAAGATGGAAAAAGACTCAAACGCAAGAATCTTGAAAAGAAACTCAGACCAAAAAAGGCTACTATAAAAATAACTAACAATTCGGATAGCAATTCCAAAGAAAATGAATAGTTTTATGGCGAATTCAATCAAAAACCTGCCATTAACTACATTGATTTGGAGGTTGTTAAGCGAAATTTTTTAGGGAAACTTGAAAAAAGTGACGACGAGATTTTGCAGATCGAACACGTCACCAAATCACAGGACTGTACTTTGTCGTAGACGAATTTCGCCCAAAAATCGATTTGCACTTCATAGCTTACGTTTCATTTTTTATTATTTCCCAATGAAACTCTTGCAGCGTGCTAAAAACAAAGTCCACAGGATGCTAACGATCCACTAGGATCTTTTTAAAATATCACGAAGTTGAGCACAAATAGTAAGCATTTCAATCCACCTCAACTCTTGCGCAAAGACAAAATTTTGTAAAAAGCTCTGATAGCACCTTAGGCAATTATGTCCTACTTATATATTATAGAAAAACATCAGAAACTGCAGTACACTAGTTGAAGGTAACTTCGAAATGGGTACATTTCTCTGTCGGCAGTTGCAAATAGATCTGTTGCCTCTTGGTGTCAAACCTATAGAGCAGGTACCGATTTTTTCAAATCGTGAGCACATTATTCCTCGGATTTTCGTTACGTAAATTTCCTGTAATCACTGGGATCAGAGGCTTCTTAATAATATAACGTGTTCCACTGATATCAAAGATGCAACATTTAGAATCAACTTCCCCCAACCCCCACTTTTTAAGCAGTACAATTTTTTTCTCTAAAAAAAGCCGATTTGACCCCCATATTATAAGAAACTTTTTGCTCCTGTTAACCCCCTCTATCGCCCATTTAAATAATGACTATCATAACGTTTACACCCTGTATATCATCCACAAAACATACCTCAATTTTTAGCGATTGAAAATATTTCCCTGCCAGTATGGCTATAGAATAGGAATAATTGTGTACAGGAATGGCATGCGGTGAAGAGATCTGCGTGGGTTTGAGCAGTGGCACTGCTACCTACATGACAACAGCCGGCAGCGGAGAGAGAGGCGCCTCGATATCATCACTGTCCAGCCGTAACGATGCCGATGGAGCGTGTTGGTGCCAGTGCCATCCGCATCTTCCCGTCTTCAGGGAGGATTTGCGAATATGCGTTGACGATATACTCGGTGAGTTCCTATATACCATAACTCTCACCCTAGAAAATTCGTTGAAACAATATTTGTTATGCCTTTGCTGTAATCTGAACAACTTTTTCCCTGGGTAAGAGAAAAAGGGCTATAATCTTCACGTACATATAATGAAGTTGATATAACATCTGTGTGGTGGGATAAGAATTACTCAGCGGTACTCCCAGGTTCATGGTTCTTCTCTATTAGTGGCCGTATTCCAGTGATCCTTCATACCTTTCACATTTTACGGTTATTATATTTGCTATATGCCAAATACGTTCATCATGGTAAGACTATACTTTAGCGCTGGCAGGGCTTATACTACAACTATTTAAAACTGTAATGACTCATACGTGTGATCAACACGTGATCAGAGCTCGATCCCGGCTTCCTTCCAGTACATCCGTATAGCGTACGACATATGTCGTTTCTGTGGCTTTGCGGTGGTCAACAGCACAGACAGAGATGGACATAATGGCTGGTCGTTCTCCGCCGGTAGAACCAATGAAATCAAAGACGCGCCTCGACCGGCAGACTCATAGGCGTCGGCAACGCATTGGAACGTGTTTCGTTGAGCGATCGCATATTGTGGGTTTTTATAAGAATTGTTGTGTGATTGTTATTGTTGTGGTTTCTGTGGTTACTGTTTTGGTTATACTTAACCATGGAGAGTACAAATGGCACGAGTGGAAGTACTGAAAGCCAGGAAACAAGTAGACGGCTTCGTAAAGCACTGAAGAGGGACGCGAAAGAAATCTAACAAAACCGATTCGGCGCACCCGTGCAAAGCCAGGTGCAACAGTGCTGTGCGCCGTGCATCGTGTCGGCTCGGGTGCGGTCGGAGTTACTCGGTTGGACCGGGTAGAGTCACGCCAGTGTTGCCAGGTCTACCAATTTTTTGGTAGATTACCGATTTTGGTGCTGGTCTACCGAACTACCGATTTTAAAGCAAAATCTAGCGAAAAGTGGACTTTTCCTTCAATTGAATAATTTTTGTTCCCTATATAAGAGAACTATTTTTGATGCAAGAATGACAAGAGTGCTATTATTATTCGTACTAGACCAGATATATTTTTATTCTCTTTGCCTGACATTGGTGTGTCACATACGCTGATTCTTTGCATCTGGGAATCACCGAAGATACTTGATGATTTGGCTACATCGCCTAGGCCTAGCGGCTCGTGACAAGTCCATGCCTGTATTGTACGATGTCTAAGATTTCGTGTACTTAGTAATTCCGAATTCGGCCAGTATTAGTATTGCCTGGCTTGCAGTCATTTTTTTTTCGCCTGCGTGTGCCCAACATTATAAGGAAGACTTGGAAGAATTGCCAGATTTCCAAGGCTGGCTTAAAAAAGCAATAAAGGGCGCGATTATGCGAAATTTGATAAAGATATTAATATCAAAAGTGGAAGAGATTCACTTATAAAACACGCAAATGGGCAATTTCATAAGAAAGTGCAAACCACAGCAGAACAGCCAAAACTGTTGTCATTTTCAGTTGCAGGTGCATCAAAGAAATTAGAAAATGATATTAAAGAAGGTAAAATAAATTAATCTATTTGTGAAGATTTGAGATTATTTTATTATTTCCAGGATAAATTCGTTTGAGCGCATTTTTGGCGCCGATCATAATTTGCCATTACTGTTGATGGACCATTCGGCAAAGCAAAATTAGTAGATAATATGACTGATAATAACTTATACAAAAATGAATCGAAAGAATGATTATCCAATATAGCTTACACATTTTTTTATTTTATACACTTTTTCTTTTTTATTAAGAATATTTTATTTTTAGTTAGCTAGAGTGAGATATAAACTGTTTATTTTTGTTTTGCCTTTCTGTTTTAGAGTATATTTTGAGTTAAACAAAATTGTTTCAAGTAAAAGCCTTCATTTACTCTATTCAATCTACCGAAAAATTACCGAACAATTCCATATAATTCTACAGAAAGATCGTCGACTCCACCTGGCAACACTGGCGAGGAGACAGAGAGACAGCCGCGCGAAAATGTGGAGAATGGACAATCTAGAGGGATTCTCACCCGGCCGCGGCTGGCGCGCGGCTGATTTGCACCGAGCACCGTGCAATGCACCCACGCGAGCACCCTGTTAAGCCCTGCTTAGCGCATATCGCAAATACTTCATTTCTTACTTTAAAATGAAATATTAGAATGTAACTTGCCCGAAAATATCATTATAAAGCAGTATTCTATACCACAGTATTACCATACAAAATGCAACTTTGAAGTTCTATAAAATAGCAAGCAGGGGGTTGCTTAAAGAAAAAATGATATTTTCGTGCAAGTTACACCCTAATTTTTCATTTTAAAATAAGAAATGTAATATTCGCGATATGCGCTAAAGTATAGTTCATCATTTACATCAGTCAAAAGTGAGTGACATGTCATCGATTAACCTAGACGTGATAATGTGCGAATCTAGATTTTAAAGAATAATATGCGATGTCTTCCGGCAAAAGATTGCCGCAATACTTGGCAGCGATGAGCATTTCTATTGGAGCTGTGGGAGCGGGCAACGCGATTTCGTGGACGTCGAATATATGCGAAGATCTGAAGCACGGCAAATTGAACGGCCTCAAGATGGACAACGACGACCTAGGATGGTCAGGATCGTGCATGACGTTGGGCGCGATGCTGGTATGCATCCCGATAGGGTTCGTGTGCGAATGGATAGGAAGAAAGGGCGCAGCTTTGGCGGCGGCAGTCCCTCTCTTTTTAGGATGGATCATGGTGATGTTCGCGAACCACGTGCTGATGGTGTACGTCGGCAGAGTGCTGGTCGGTATAGGAGGAGGGGCGTTCTGCATTTGCGGACCGTTGTACGCCAGCGAAATAAGCGAACCGGCCATCAGAGGAACTCTATGTTCGTTTTTCCAGTTCTTTCTCTGTGTCGGGGTGTTGTACGGGAACGTGTTCGGATACGCGATGCCCACGTTGCGATTGTTCAACGTGATGTGCGCGGCCGTACCTGTCGTTTTCGTAGCGTGTTTCGTATTCCAACCGGAAAGCCCGGTGTATTACATGCGGAAAGGGAAACCGGACAAGGCCGAAAAATCGCTGCGGAGGCTCAGAGGGAAAGATTACGATTGCCGCGGCGAAATGCTCGAGATACAGACGTCCATCGAGAAACAGACACTGATGGTAAACTTCAAAGAGGCGATCAAGAAGAAAGCGGCCATAAAAGCTACCTTCATCTGCTTCATGCTGATGATGTACCAGAAATTTTGCGGCATTAACGCGGTCACGTTCTACACCGAGGAAATATTCTTAGGTGCCGGCTCCGAATGGGCGCCTCATTGGTGCGTCATGAGCGTCGGCTTCGTTCTGGTGGTGGTAACGCTCTTCACTACGTGGGCCATCGAAAGGGCAGGAAGAAAGATCATGCTGATGACGTCGTGCGCATTGATGGCCACCGGATCCGTATTGATCGGAGCATTTTTCTGCGTGAAGGAGCGCGAGATCCTCGACGACGAGGGCGCAAAGGCGATCGGCTACGTGCCCATCATCGGCGTGAATTTGTTCATAATCGGGTTCTCGCTCGGCCTCGGGCCCATCCCTTGGCTCGCCTGCGCCGAGTTATTCCCTCCGGAAGTGAAGGCCAAGTGCAGCGCCGCAGCCGGCACGTTCAACTGGTTCCTGGCGTTCATCGTGTCCCGGTTCTATTTGAATGTGGCGGCAGGGATCGGCAACGACATTACCTTCTTCATATTCGCCGCCATCACCGTATCGGCGATTTTCTTCGCTTTCTTCGTCATACCGGAGACCAAAGGGAAAACTTTCGAACAGATACGCACCGATTTAGAAGGAAGACGGTCTTAGACACAACATTTTCGTTAATATCGTGTAATAGGATATTGAATAAATTTATGTTAATTTAAGTTTTTCTCTTAACGACGTCTCAGGCGTTCGGACATTTTTTTTTTTTTATATCGAAACAGCCGCGCAGGCAGAAGCCTAAATGCCGGAACACCGCGGCTGCTATGATGATCCCAAAGAAATTTTGCTAATACGATTTTTGAACTGCCTAAGGTTAGTAGAACTGGGAAAAGCTTCCTCCCGTAGTTTGTTCCACAATCTAGATACCCTCGGGATAAAGGAGCGGTCGTATCGGCCAGTTCTGGATGTACGAAGTTTGACACGGTTAGGATGAGACGCCGAAGTCAGGCGGGTCTGTCTGGCAGGCACATCGCGCGGCGGCATCATGGAAGAGAGCTCTGAGGAGCAAAGCCCGTTGGTGTAGCGATAGAAAAGAGCTAGATCGCCGACGACCCGCCGGTGCGAAAGAGTCCCGAGACTGTCTGTTAAAGAAGAGTCATCGATCAGTCGGACCGCCCTCCTCTGGACAGCATCGAGCATGGACAATGTAGTCGGGGCGGCAGCACCCCAAATGTGTGAGCAATACTCGAGGCTAGGCCTTATCTGGGCCTTGTATAGAGTGAGAAGGTCATGCGGAGAAAAGTACTTTTTAGCCCTAAACAAATAGCCTAGCTTTTTCCCAGCAGCTGCAGCTATTGAAGAGATGTGTTCGTGCCAGATCAGGTCCTCGGTGATCTGGACTCCGACCAGCTGAAATGAATGGCTCTTTGGTAGGACTCGACCGTCCATCGAAACTGTATGAGCGCTAGGACGCTTTTTGTTCGTCAAAGTACAGTACTGTGTTTTGGAAGCATTGAACTGTACAAGATTGTTGCGTCCCCAAGCAGTGATAGCCTCCAGGTCTCTTGTCAGAGAAGAAGCCGTCGCTAGTCTTCTTTTTTCCAGCTCAGCGGCAGAGATCGGCTTGTCACTCTGAATTCCTGCATGTAGAGTGCTGTCATCAGCGAAGCTGTGGATTGGGTTGATCGTGCAGGAAAGGAGGTCGTTGATATGTAAGAGAAACAGTGTTGGAGCCAAGACCGATCCCTGGGGAACACCCGCGTTGACGTTGTGGGATGAAGAGGAGAATCCGTCAATTACGACGGATACCTTGCG